CGGTTGAAGCGTAATAATTGGAAGTATCGGCGAAGAACATAAAGTGACATTAAGGTGGACCATCACGTATGTCTCCCTCAATGTCAGGGGCCTCAATGTTGACATAGAAATCTCCTCGAATATCGGATGAACGACACGTGGATTGTAGGGAAGGTTGAGAGTCACGCCGAAACAAGAAAAAGGGAAAAGTTTACCGAGCTGAATACGCCGACCTCTTAACGGGTGGACCTCGGGAAAACCCAACTTGTGAAGAGTCGACCTCAGGTCGTCAGAGACCGCATTAAATGCTCGTCGAATCAATTGTCTCGACCCACGTGAAGGCATCATTGCTAGAGGGCCCACCGACAAGAAAAGTTGCGCCCAAGTGTCATTCAGCATTTAATGCTGCCGATTCTCCTCAAAAGAAGAGCCCACAGTTGCTATAAATAGCAGCATTAAACATGATACGAGGATCTTTTTCCGAGGCCTTAAATTCCGCATTTAACACCTCGGTCCATTGCATATAACGGTATTACTGTATTATAAAAAACCCGACTTTAAGTCCGAAATACCGACTTGAATCTGTTGTAAAATACCACCTATTTAACTAATAAAATCACGTCATTTCTGCATCATCCCCTAAGATTAACATTTAACAAGGTTGATCGAATCCGTTTATCAACACATGCGTTGCCACTTTATTAGAAATTTGGTTGATGATGGTTTAATTGTTCATAAATATGTTCCAACACATAACCTTGATGCTCAAAGATGTATTTCTCTAAGGAAATCCTTAGGGATATGCATTCTCTGATTGCTTGCATGTCATTATATTATATTGTATTGTATATTAGTATATATATATTTATCGCATTGCTTGTAAGCATATAGGGTATATTGCATTAGGCATGCTATTGCATCTTGCATTCTCTTCACCACTAGATTCTTAATTGAAGTTTTGACTCTTCTGAAAACTTGAGCGATGTTGACTATCTTAGACTGGCTGCGTGTTCTTACTATACTGAGGAACGTACTTATTTTCAATATTTTTTTTTTTGTTTTTGTCAAAAAGAGTTGCCCTCTCATAAATGATCTAGAGCGATAGCTAGCACATGGTTCGTTTTCCAATGCGGGATCGACTGTGAAAAGAGCGTCTTGGACAGAAAATGTTGAGAAGGGCGTAAGCTAGTGACACACATTGCATATTATTGTGTGATGTTTTTATGCGGAGATATAAGGTGGTCACCCTCATAAAAACCGTAGTGCTTTATTAAAAAAAACCGTAGGATCCTTTTTTAAAATCGTGGTGCAAAGTAGTGAGGTTGACTTTCACTATTGCAGTGATTGTCACTAAGTGAAACGCGCTATGAATAATATGACATGTGTTCTTGCAAAAATTGAAGTTGTGGTTTGCACTACTCTGTGTATATACATATATCCGCTTATCGTGTGTTCCTCGAGAAGTTGGAATCTCAAAGTTGATCTCTGATTGTTATCATCAATCTTGTTTAAGTTGATAAGGAAAAGATTTTTTGGATCTAGTGAATTTTGTGTGCGATTTTATTTTTTTTCATACTAGGCATATATTGCATAAAATTTTCTTCTTTGATTGAATTACTTGGGCATTAAAAATTTGTGAGAGAATTTATTTTTGGATGATAAAATCTTATTCTTCCTAATTTTGAATTAGTTGGACACATGTGTTAGTGTGTTAATGGGTTTGTGTGTTCAGTTTTGATGGGAATGTTCTTACTGCATAGTATCCAACCTTTCCCTTGATATTTAAACCTTACCCATTACATCCTGACATTTTTCATTCATTCTGCCCTCACTATATATCTTCATTTTCGGAACCTTAGAACCCTATTTTCATTTGTCTTTCTCCATGAATTATTCGTTTAACCATTTTGTTCCTACATCATTTTCTAATGTGCTTCTGAAACACTTTGGTTGATGGCGAAGGCCTGGAGAAGAGATGGACAGCATATCAGCGATTAGAGATTAGTTCAAGCATCGTCTTTTGTCTTCGGTCATCTTTATTTTTCTCATTTGATGTTCTTACTCAGGGGGAGATTTGCGTTTGGCATTTCAGTCTAAAAAGGGGGAGAAATAGGATGTCTCTGAAGATGTTCGGGATTATGTTCTAGTTGTTTGCTTCTGATTACTTGTGGTTGTTGTTTTTGACATGTTTCTACAGGATGTAAGAACATGTATGTTTTGTTGTTTGATTGTTTTGTCTATTCTGACAGGGGGAGATGCATCGGTCACTCTATTTGACTTAGGTTCTGATATCTTGAAGTGTTTTGATTGCTCTCATAGTTGTTTTGAAAGGAACTGTTCTGATGTTCTTACATTGCAGGTGTTTGAGTAGTTTACTTCCTGATGTTCGAACATAGATAATTGCTTTGCTGTTTTGAGTTTATTTTGTAGGTTATCTTCAACAAACACGGTTTTCGAACTGAATGCCAAAGAGGGAGATTGTGAGAACATTGGTCTGGCATCATGTCCGACAAACCTAAGTGTTTTCTAGAAGATTTCTTGTTAAGCAAGCAAAATAAATTAAAGGGAAGTTTTTCTATTTATTTACTTGTGATTTAATTAAGTTCTTGATATTTATTATTAATAATATATGGTATATATTTATTGTAGTATGTATTATGGAATCCTAATCCTTTAGGAGAAGGATTACATAATATATATCCTATATATTTACTTACCATGTATGTCACATGCCATAATTAGTTCTCTCTTTCTTGTAGGACAAGGAATAAGTGGCAATGACTATGAAAGGATAAGCTTTACATACAAGAAGAGTTCTGGACGTTCATGAGAAGATCTAAGGAGGATTTTGAAAGATTCACCACAAGATCTTTGAAGATTTGAAAGATCGGCTATTTTTGGAAAGTCGTGTTCTTACTGGATTCTGGAAGGCAAGATTTCCATTGGAAGTTCAATTCTGAAGATCTCCAAATCACATGCACGAATTCCACATCAAAGAAACTTACCTTACATGAAGGATTTCGTCCAAATCAGAAAGCAATCAATTGAGAAGGAAATTGACTCTTAAAAGGAAAGGAAGAACTTGGAGAAGACTCCACCCTAAGGAGTTGTATATATACCCTGCTTGAAGATCGAAGATATGCTGCTGAAATAATTATCTTCCATTCAATATTCGAGCTTCAAGCCTTTTTAGTTTTATTTTGTTCACAGTTCAGTTCAAGGGTTCTTACGCATCCAAGAACTGAAGCTGTTTAGTTTGTTTTTCTTAATTTCATTCAAATACTTTTTGTGATCAGTACTTAGGGATTAAGTACAGTGGTTAGCTCGAGGGATTTGAGAAATAGAAGTCCACGGGACGTGGCCAGAGAAGTAATTGATAGGATCGTGTGTAGTTGTGGCTAGACTAGAAGGGAGTTCGAGTCGTGTAAGTCCAAACTATACAAGTGTGAACGGTTTATCAATGAAAGAGCTCTGAGGGGAAGTGAGACGCTTCCCTGAAGAGTTTTTACATCCTCAGTTTATTGCTTCCACTATTTACGTTGTTTATCCACGTTCTTACATCGTTTTGCGCACTTGAGTTAAAAAATATACGTTTCATTATTTAATGTAGTAACATTTATAGTAAGTAGTGTTGCTTAATACTACTACAAAAGTGATAGATAAATTAATAATAAATGATACTACGGAGTTAGTGTTATTTAACGTAACATTTATAATAAGGTTATTTCCAACCGAATACCTCATACTCAAATTTATTTTGCAGTACCTATTCCATTTGTAGTAATTCATCTTCAACCGAAAAACCCATTCTCCAACCCAAAAGAATATTCTCTTTTACATCAACTTTTACAACTTTTCAATACTACCCACATATTTTACAACTTTACAAATTAAACCACACTATTATTTTTCAATTTAATTTGGACTTTATGTATTAAATTAATTATAAAGTAATAATCATATACATAATAAGATCGAAGAAATAAATAGTCATTAAAAATTAAAATTTTTAATTACAACACACTATATAATATTAATATTAAAAATTACAACGCACAAGATGATAAATTAAAAATTACAACACACAAGATAAAATTAAAAATTACGACTCACGAGATGAGAAATTAAAAATACAACACATAACAAAACTAAAAATTACAACGCACAAGTAATATTAATGTTTTTTTTATTTGTTAAATTAGTAGCCTTTTTAATATTAATATAATATGGTTTGTAACTTTTTTTTTTTTTTTTAAAATACTTATAATATATATAGAAACAAAATAAAACCATATCTAACTTAACAATAATTCCTAAATATAATATATATAATTACTACAATGTGTAAAATTTAACGTATAATAGATTTAACATTATTATTATATTCTATATATATAATAATTGGGGTATATTGTGATAGTATTACAAAAAAATAAGGGCTAAGATGCAATTTGAAAAAATACAAACGCATAATTTGAGATCAAACGCAAATTTGCGTCGGAAGAGAGGAGAGAGAGGGTGAAAACGCATTTTGGAGTTGCGTTTGCAGTACCCTTGGAGCAAATTGAACTGCAAAAAATTGGGTTTTGCAGTTCCATTGGAGAAGGTCTAAGTACTAGTGTTCTCACACATGGAACGATCATAATAAAACATATATAACCAAGTGATATTATAATATTCAGGTATGTAAGTAATATTGATCATGAGGACATTATTAAATCTAAGGCTATCTTTTTTTTTTTTTTTTTTGCCAAAATGATAGGGTACTATATAAATAAAATCGCATAACATGCAAAGAGAAGCAGCCAAAGGCTGAATAGTACAACCAAAAACTAAAACTAGGAGGCAGATTCGAAAATCGCGCGCCTAAAGCCTAGCAAAGCTAGAATAAAGGCTATCTAATTTCATGAAAATTATATATGTTGATTTTGTATAGTATCTCGTAAAACCCTAATTGCAATCATTTTCATATATATAATTTTCATGAATATATAATAATAAATTATGAAAAGCTAGCTAGCTCACATTGCCGCAAACGCGCACAATTCACTCACATTGGCCTCCAAATCACTCACCTTCTGCTCCAACTGGCTCACCACATTCACATTCTCCTCCAAAACCCTTTCAATCTTCTGGAGCGCATTCAGCTGTAAGAAGCTGCTCAGCTCAGCTTCCAGTTGGCTTATCTTCAACGAGTAGTATAGTCTCGTAAAAAAATTCCACCATCTCAACACGGAACACCTGTCCACCATCTTCCTCGCTCGATCGAAAACCTCATTCTCGCCGGCGATGTTAGCTGGTTCGATGAGGTCGACAATTGATTTTAGGCGGTTGAGGTCCGAGCTGAAACAAGCTAGCTTCGGAGTTGCATGAACGGCCACGGATATCAGGAGCAGCTCCAAAGCCACACCTACAGCGGCTTCACCAACTTTATCCATAATTAGGGATCTGAGCCTAGGGATTGGTTTGTATATTTAGAGCTGGTTAAGGAAAAAGATAATGAGGATATATATACTAATATGAATGCAGATGGAATCTCTTCTCACTTCTCATTATTAAAACTTTTTTTTTTAAAAAAAAATGTTAGAAGTTAGAATCCTTCGTCCCCGAGTCTCATGTTGGACGTCCCTTTCGTACTCTAGGTAAATTTCTGGGAAAAGTTGAAAATGTGATTTTAAAAATTAGTTTTAACTAGTACAAAAATTAATTATTCTGAAATTTTAAAATTAATGAGAAAAATTATTTTAAGTTTTAATATAAAATATATATTATTATACATTTTAAAATGACATTTGTCACTTGTGCGACTTAAATATGTTGTATTATAGTAATTTTATAATACCTCCACCTTCTATATATTTTCTTTTTTAATTATTTGATTATTTATTTTAAGAATTATGAATTTTCACTAAAATGAATTTAATTTAATCAATGAACACTAATATCAAAATACAATATAGTACATAAAGGGGACAGATGAGCTATTGGGCTATATGCAATAAATAAAAATAACCGGACCAACAGAATATATGTATATTTAATATTTTAAAATGTATAGTTCGGTCGTTTTGATCAAATCAATCGAAACCGACAAAGAAGCTCGGTCGGTTAATATTCTGTTTAAATAGATAATTCGGTCGATTTCAATTATTAGTATAGTATGGCTCCATTATTTTGGTTTTACTAATTCGGTTCAGTCGTCGATGCACACTTAAGGGCCTGAAAGTTTATGTCGTCCGCCCCTATATGTGAAGTTAATAAAAAATAGTCAAGCCAAATTGGGCCCCACATTCAGAACAAAATTATTATAATGGAGATGGTTGCAAGAAAACAAAAGTATTTTGGAGAATTGGAGATATTTGCAAGAAATCAAAAGTATTTCGTAGACAAAGAGATCTATAGTCACAAAGTTTATAAACCATATACTTTCTACATTCTCAACACTTCACATTATCTAAATCTCATCATCACTCTCATGTTTCCATTTATTTAATTTATATATTAATTTAATTTATATTTACTAAAAATAATAACAATTTTTACAATGACATATCTATTATATATCATAATAAATATATTTTACGGACAATTAAAATTAAAAAATAATAATAATAAATGAAATTTATTACACATAAACTTTACAATAATATAAAATATAAAAAATTCATGTCCACCAAAATAAAAAAAAAAATAATAAGAAAGTTTGATTACACATAAATAATATAAAATCTAGAAACTTAATTAATTCGACATATATATTATATATCATAATAAATATATGTTACGTACAATTAAAATTAGAAAAAATAAATAAATTTATTAAGCATAAAATGTGAAACACTAGATTACATAATAGAAATTAAACTAAATGTGGAAAAAATATAACTAAATAAAATAATAGAAATTAAAACTAAATGAAAGAATAAAAAACATGTACGTAATTAAATTTCATATTGCATCCATATATTAAATATTTGAGGCCCTGATGCAGCAATAATAATAATAATAATAATAATAATAATAATAATAATAATAATTATATTTATGCTGCATCATTAATGATGCAGCATAAATATAATTATTATTA